ATGTAATAATTGCACACGTCCTTGACCCAAGATATAAGTTAGATCACTTAAAGGCAACTTTAATTGAAGTCGGTAAATATAGTGAGAGTGATGCAGAGCTGTTTATTGATAATATTCAGCAGAAGGTTATTTCTAATGGAATTAAATATACAAGAGCAGAATCTTCAAATATTGAAGAATCTTTGAATATTGAAGAACCTGCGAATGTTGAAGAGCCTTCGAATGTTGGAATTGGTATTAGTGATTCTATATCTGATTCCTTATTTCCTAGAAGAAGATTTTTAAAAAAATGAAAACGTACAGACTCAATAGAATATGAATTAGAATTATATGAAAATGAGCCTCTTGAAGAGTTCATGAATAATAATGAAAAGAAAGAGAATATAGGAATACTATTTTGGGAATTATTATCAAATAGATGCCGATATTGAGTAAAATGGCACATGATTATTTGTATATCCAACCTTCAAGCATTTCTAGTGAAAGGGCATTTTCAAGAGCTGGTTTTACAATTACTAGTGATAGAGCAAATCTTAGTGAAAATACTGTTTCTAGTACAGTACTTATGCATTCGTGGTTAACGGAAGGCCAAAATGAATTTAGCCCTCTTAGCAATCTTTTATAAGCAAATAAATTTCCAAATATTATATAATACGTCGATATGAGGATAGTAGTAAATTATATCGATATATATTTATCTATTATGCAAAAATGTTGTAATCATCATTATATGTACTACAATGCACTATAATAACTAGCGCTCCAGTGCTACAAACAATTTTTCTTGTATGCTTAGCTTAAAATTGTACGTTTTCACTTGATATAGTTATTTAAATTTTAGAAATAAAGATGATATTTTGTATTAAACAGGATAATTAAACTAAGAATAAAATGGTACGTAGTAATTAGTGATGCTGACATAACATTTTATCAGCACTATGATTTTGGTTTTATCACATGATAAAACATAATTTTAACATTTATCGTAGTTAAAACTGATAGAATAAAAAAAAATATAACTAGTATATACTAGTATATACTTTGTAATTAAAAATTAAACTATTGCTATCATTAAATTATGCAACTGTTTTATGCTTAGCATAAACCGAATTCGTTTTATGCTAATATCAGGAGACAAGTTTCTTGATATGTCTGCTATAGATCCAGCAGCATATTGGTAGCATATTGGTAAGATATCAGGAGGTAGATTGATATCAGTAACATAACGACAAAATATTAGGATACCTGATATCTTACTCTTAGCACTTCTGGGCCTAAAAGTAAGATATCAGAATATCTCAATATTTTGTTATATTATCTAAACTATTTAAATTCATAAATATTTAATATTTAATATTTAATTTTAGAGAATACATTAAAGAGTATTTGTTGATTTAAGTAAGTATTTAAATAAAATGAATTGTATCATATTCATTTAGACCCAAATTTATTGAAGACAGTTTAGCTGTTCTTGAATTACAGAAAAATTCCAAATAATGCAATTTACTAGTTTGTCGGTTCCGTTTCTGCTATGTAGTAGTTATCTGAGTATTATAAAATTAATTAATGGCACAGATCCTCTGATATATGAGAACCAATCAGAAGTGGTTAAACTCGTATTGGTTTTTTTATTACGTAAACTTAATATTTTTATAAATACACTGGTTTTTTTACTATGTCACATATACAATGGGAAAGTATTATTATAGTCTTTAAACACAGTCAGGATATTACCCTTAAATAACAACCTAGACAGCTATTATAACATTTTTAAAATGTACATTAAAGTTTTTAAATTATTAAACGAAAGCATTATACCTAGGGTTGTGTTATGAAAATTACAATCCTACATTACTTGGAATTTTACGTAAGTTTCAGTAAATCGAATTACACGTAAGTTTGGTCACATGATATAAAGTAATAGGATTACATAAATTTGGCCTAGTTTTATTCATTAGATTTATTTGAATATCTAAGACATCTGTTGTTATATTTAAATATGAAGTGTGTAACGAATTGCTATACTATACGTTTATTTAAATCATTTCATTTACATGATATGAAGATTTTGCAAACATATTAATTTTGTTTCGCGATTATTTTTACTCCATAATTCCAATTCACTTTGATCATGATTACTATTATCTGATGTTGATTGTTTTCATTTCTTATTACCATTTGAAGCTTCATTTATTATTGAATTTTGCAAAGAACATATATCCAAATGCTCCTGTAATCTTGTTGCATTTTTTACCACTTCCTTACTACATGCTTTGCATTTGTAACATTCTTTTTCCTTTTCGTCTATCCGCATAGTATATTGATCCCACATTTCACCTTTCTTTTTTTTAACCATTTTTAGTACAGTAGTATGTTATAAAATTTTTAGGTTCAATTTTACTTTATTTTATATTTTATACTTTATATGACAAAAATAATTAAGCGAATGAATAATTACGTATCATAATTAGCGAACGAAAAATTTAATAAACTTTACATATCATGTGATTAAAATTACATTTCCATGTAGTGTTTCGATCCTATTTCTAACAGACCATCTAGATTATATTAAATCCGAATTGAATCCGTCTTAGATTATATATTAAAGCTAACTTTTGGACGCATCCTTAAGTCCGTTATTTAAGTTCTTAGTCTAATCTGAGTAAACATCTCTGATTTGGATAGCTGAGTTTATCTAGATTTAAGGATTAATTCATATCTCAGATTACGGATCGAAACATTATTTCCATGTAAATTCAATTTACCGAATCTTACGAAAAATTACTTTACTGTTACTAAAATTTTAACTATCAAAATGAAAATTTTGTGAATTGTTATCGCACAGCTTTTCTTGTAGAATAGATAACGATAAAGAGTAAATGGTAATCGCGTGTATTTGTCTCCTTTGTTTTTATCATCATAATTTTTGTCAATTTCTGTATTTTCATAATTAACTTCACTATCACCTTTATTTCTTCTTTACTTTATTACTATTATATACTGTACAAATTATATTGCAAACAAAAATGATAAATATAAAATATACCTTTATAATATAATATCAAATAGTTTTCACAAAAGTCTGCGATGAACATTCAATCTTTGCTGAATATCATTAATATATTTTGGTATTTTGGATGTTGCATTTTTTTGTATGATTAAAGTTTTTCTTTCGAGGATTTTCAAATTTTTTTACGAATATTAGATGGATTGCTTTAAGTTGAGATATGATTATTACATACTACGTTAACTATTAGAGCTAAACTGTGCACTGTTACTCACTCTTCCAATTTACAATAGTAACAACCTATGCATGTGTCATACCTGTGCCCATGTCTGTACCCATGCCTATGCCCATGTCTATGCCTATGCCTGTGCCTTGCCTGATATTTTGTGCCTATATCTGTGCCTGGTATTTTGTGCCTATACCATGCCTGTACCTATGCCATGCCTATACCTATGCCTAATATTTTGTGCCTCTATTTGTGTCTAATGCTTTATGCCTTGTCTTTAATAATACTCAGCATTTTATACCTATGTTTTTAATAGTGCTTAGGCATTTAGTATTATTTTGTATTTATAGGCACAGGCACAGCATATGGCACTAGTACCTGACATAGTGCCAAAGTGCCAGGCACAGGCATTTGCAGAACCCTACTTCCTACTGATAATAATCAAATTCCAACATAGCTTACCAATACACAAACATATTAGAAAACATTACATAAAGCTTGAGAAGCAGAAAACTCAATACAAATCTGACAACAAATTAATAAAGCAATGGAAAAAAGATGTCTAGCCCTTCAAACACAACCAACAAGGATGATCAACAGTATCCTTAATAGACATACTGACTACGTCTCATTCTAAAACTTTAAAACAGATACAGATTTAATTACTGATCCTGATTTAATTAAGGAACAGGTTAAAAACCACTTTGATCAATAGACCGAACATAGATCCATTAATCAACAAACTTTCAACTTAACTTGGAAAAGTTGCTATGACCCTATCTCTTCTATAAACTCTTCTCACTATGATAATGTTCTTGATATCATTACAGCAGAAGAAATTACTCATACTCTTCAAAATCTTCCTAACAACAAAGCATGTAGCCTATTGGGTATTAGCTATGAAATGCTTAAACATGCTGGAGATATATTCTTACAAACAACCACAATACTACTTAACAGATGCTTAACTTCTCAACTAATTCCTAAACAATGGAAAGAGGGC